TGGTCTGCGGGTCCTCTGGTAATGTGGTCCCTTGGTCCTTTGGTCCCTTGGTCCTCTGGTCCACTGGTCCTTTGGTCCCCTGGTCCCTTGGTCCTTTAGTCCACTGGTCCCCTAGTCCTCCGGTCTCCTGGTCCTCTGGTCCTGTGGTCCGCTGGTCCCCTGGTATCCTAGTCCTTCTGTCTCCTGGTCCGCTGGTCTTTTGCTCTCCTACGGCGCTCGTCTGTCGATCTCCTGGTCCCCTGCTTGCGCAAATAGAGGCTTGATTGCTTTCTACTAGAGGCAGCTCCCTGGGAAGAAAGTAGGTACCCAACGATAAGGTAGCCGTCCAGTCATTGAGTAGCCCCACTCGAAAAATGGCTCACCAGCTTGGTGAAAAAGACCCTGTACGGCTGCGACCGCAATGCACCCATTAGAAATAGACTGGTCCACCACATCTTTTTCCTGAGGCGATTCCCATCCAGGCACCTTCCGATGCTGCTACACCCATTCCAAACACTTCTCTGCTCTGAGCGCTCTGACAACGCCATGTAGGGCCTAACTTCGTGTGAACGCCGTGACTACTGCTACTGCTACCACTACTACTACTACTACTACTCCTCCTCCTCCTGCTGCTGCTGCTGCTGCTGCTGCTCTGCTACGCTGGTGCTGCTGCTGCTGCTACTGCTACTACTACTACTACTACTACCCCAACCATCCTCAGTGGGCTAGAATATTTTTTTTTTGATTCCCTTTTTTTTTATTGATCCCCGTTGATTTTTTTTGATTCTATTTTTATTTTTATTTTGATCCCTTACCCTTCCGCGTCCTTCTGAAAGCGGAATTGGTACTATGGTAGCGTTTCAACTTCGATTATGTCATGTTGGACATTGCTCGACTTTTTTGGTTACGTCTAAGTTTGGCAAAGATACCACCAAAGCAAAAAGACATATCTTTCAGTATGTTGATTACAATCATTTACCGCCCAATGAGCAAAAACGTGGCACAATCATCCGTGGTTTCAGGCCGCATCCGTGGTTTCAGGTGGATCACCGGTTTCAAGTCATGTGCTTTCCAGGCACAGAGGAGCTCTATGACGAGATCTTGGATCGCCTTCGCAATATTCCAGACGCTGAGTTGAGAGTTGCGAAGGGGTTGGTTGCTGGACAGGTGAATGACGGCCAATGCGTGATAGTTATAAATCATTAAGTCATTTAAGAAAGGTTGTTTATGGCAGATTTTCCTGACATATATTGAATTATCACCTTCATAGTCGGAATCATTGATTAGATTCACCAGAGGCCGCCGGTGTTACGACATGGTCTTCTTTCCGCTTGGATGGCCAGCCGATACTTGTGCAGCTTGTGTTACCTCAAAGGTGGGTTTGAGTGGCACAGCAGCGGGCGCATGACTTACATACACCAGCTCCGATCAGTCCAAGAAACTACCTGTCAATAAGTGATGATCAGTACGGTCTTTGATCATTTTCCATGATCAATCACTGTATATCATATGTTTGATATATCCCGTACCATGATGATTCATCATGATGGTTGATCACTCATGATAATGATAAGTGCATAATGGCTGAATCATGGTCGGCAATTAAGAGATGATCCATATCATGCTTATGTATTAACCTTTGGTAATAACCATTTCAACCAGGTGTACATGACAGTGATACTGGTGGATACTGGTTCTTAATTATGTTGCTCATCCTGGTTGTTAATCATGTTTTTGACGATGTGGTAGACAATGGTTAATGGCTGTAATTGATCATGATCATGACCATCCGTACATCAACCATTATAGATCATGATGCCAACCATTAACTAATGGTCAATTGATAGCTAATGATGTAATTGATGGTCAATAGATCATGATCTCAATGACTGATGGTCAATGATAGATCATGATTATTGCCTGCCATCTATATAGTGGGATCATGATCTAAAGTGGACATATCTTTACTATATTGGTTAGTCAACCAACTAGATCTCAATATTGAATGATGATAAAGTTATGATGATAATCACCATTTAACGATTAACCAATATAACAATTCTTAACGCTTGTGAACCACTAACCATTGATTGATACTGGTATGAACCCCTAACCATTATCAATCCATTAATCATGTCATGGTTATCCCAAGGACCAAGTCTGGCAGAAGGACGGGCGCCGTCTGAATGTGTTGCCCGAAGGGGAGACACGCACCTCGCCGGCAATACTAGCTTCAATTAATCATGGTTAATTAATGGCTAGTTTATGGTTCATTAATTGCTGATTGATTATCATTTCATGGTTGACATATGGTTGATCGATGGGGTTACTTTAGGATTTATGATTGGTTGATAGTTGATGAGTGGTTGATTGATGTGTATTTGTGATAGTCAACTGGTGGTTATGACTCATGACTGTTTAATAATGGTTGACTGGTGGTTGTTAGCGACTGATGATTGATAAATGTTGGATAGATGCGATGGCTCGAATTGCTGATCACTGGCTTGTTTCCCACTAGTACTGACCAGCGTGGCCTATTTGGGGCTCTATGTTTGAGCTACGGCCATGCCGTGTGCACGGGCAGAACGTGTGTTCAATGCTTCACTTGCATTGGCCGGGAATCCTGGCAACGTTGACTGGTTCATCATTCATCGATCCCATACAGTAGTAGCCATGAACCAGCTGCTAGTCAACCATCAGCTCCACCATCAAGTAACCATTCATTCACACCAGTTCACACCCCACAAATATCACCAACGTATGGCTGTCTCAGGTTCCAAACAGCTGATTTTGGGATTGGTCACAGCGCAGGCCTTCAGGACGCTGGGTAGGAATCCGATAGGGAGCGGCAAGGATTAGCAATGTTAAGAGTTAAGACGTGTTAAGACCTGTGATGAGCTGGGAGCGCTCTTATTTTTCCCGTCAGATGTGGATATAGTAATCAATAATAACCTTATTCATTGGGGGTTAGCCACCCATGGGTTTATCAAAAACCAGGTTGGTATTACAGGATTAGTGGTGTAATTGTAACTTATATACTAAAAGGGCATCCGCCATTTTTGACCGAAGTTATTCCCACTCAATGGTTGACATCTGGTTATACCGAGCTTCGGAGCCGGGGATCGCAGGTTCGCTTCGTCTGACATTGGTTGCCGGTGATGGCGTGAGAGATCAGACTCTCCAGTCATCGAACGGCTCCGTTTGGAACATCCCCCATTTGCCAATGAATTTGGGCGTTCGAACATGGATTAGATGGATGTGCATTTTCCGTATCAATTGGCTGGAGTGCAACCCTGAACCACTATGGAAAGCAAGCACCACCAACACTTTGAATGGGCCAATCATAGGGAGTTGAGAAGTTTGATTTCTGAAGGTTGGCACGCGCCCACGAGGAAGAGCTAAGCATGTGCCAAGCTGCCCACGAGGAACTTGCCCACGATCTCCAAGGAGACCTGGTGCCTGAGTCAGCTGACGAAGATCCTCCTGGTCTACATCAACCGGTTGGCAAAGGACCAGCTGCCTCGAAGCATCGCCATATTTAATCGCTACTAAGCCAAGTGTTTGTACTGGCACCAAATATTCAGTGATCAGTGATTACCCTTTAACCACGATCTCATTCTAATGGTTCAATTGGTTCAAGAAATGCTCATCATCAGTGTTGGGGGTATGAACCTTACATTGGTGCACTATCAAGAGAGGCAGAGTGTGCACTATCAAGCCTACAACCACCGGCATAGTCATGCAGTTGCTCCGATGCAGTGGAATTTGCATCCACACACAAGACTTTTTGATACTTTTGGCCGATCTGCATGGTTATTTGATGGCTTGCTTGATTCATGTTCTATTCTCCGTCCCAAGTGGGCAGATGGTACTTGTAATAGAGCAGCTGAAGCTGACTACTCTGCATGTCATCATGTGCATGCAATTCGTTGTCCACATAGGTTACCAGCTAACTGTGGCACACTTGGTTAGCCACCAAGCTGTGGTCTGATTTCGGAGATGGTAAGTCAGATGGGTTGAATCCACCACCCTGTGGTGGTTTCCAGGAGAATGGGTGGGGCAAGATCCATGGCAGCACCCTGCAGCTGACCAAAAACCTGCAGACGGTAGAGCACCAAGATCAGAACAACGGCGGCAAGAGCTACGGCACCACCTTCGGCGAGCACACCGGTGGCGGCCTTTGGGTGGAAGATGCCAATGGAGAGGAGCAAGTTGCCTTCCCAGAAGCTTGGCATTTTGTTTCATTTGCTGGGAGGGTTGGATGGTGAGATGGGGAGTTGATGCGGCTTTGGGGCTGAGAAGATGAACATGCCACATGCCCAATGCAAAGTGGTCTGCTCTTCAACCTGCACGGAACCAGCTTGTAGATCTAGCTTGAGACTTGTGCCAGCCCCACAGACTTGGTCCCAAGAGGGTTCCGCTGCCAAACCGCATGTGTTGAGGCACACCTGAAGAAGGAGGGTAGCCCGGAAGTGCTTCGAGGCAATCGGCATCAGCCTCGCCGTGCGCTGGTGCAGTTTGATGGCAACAGGATCCGCGGGATAATCATGACCGCGCAGCTGAGATGAAGGGCGTCAAAATGATTTCATGAGTATTTAGTGGCGTGGCCACCAGCAAGTAGAAGGGAAATGCGCACTGGCAGCTGGTATGGCTGAACTTGCGGTTGGTGTGTAGGGTGGCACCTTTCATGAGGATTTTACATCGACCTACCCCCTTTGTGTCAGCATCCTTGTCAGCCACCAGGCGGTTTGTAGACACATTTTGCACATCTGCACACATGTTACAGTAGCCCGGCCCATGTATGCAACCTTACGATGCTGATGCATGCAATAATACATTTGGTAACTTTACCAACGAGCGGTTTCAGGATTGTTGACAGCTTCGTATCACGTCCTTGTTGTTGATGTTGAGTTCACTTCAATAAGTCGGTTTGCTTTGGTGCAGTCAGTGGCCTGCTTGCAGGATCCATTGCACCTGTCCATTCCAAGGAGAACGCTACGCAGTTATCCTGTGCCTTGTCAATCGGTTCTGGTTCTTCTTGTTCTGTTCATTCCAGTTGCCAGGTGCATATCCGAAAGCGGCAGCGCATTTTTGATGATCAGTTGCTGAGTTTGACCAGACTTAGCATAATACCAGTAAATGATGTGGCAAGCACCCGGTCAAAAACAACAGTGTAATTGCAAATGCTAGAAGATCAGCTGCAACAGGCCCATGACGGTTGTTGAGTTTTCATGGCGGACTTGAGAGTTCCATCCCTTTGTGCCGATTCTGTTGAGGTTCGGTTTGAAGCCTGGTGCCATGGAAAAGACCTCGGAGTTGAACCAGGCGTGGTGCGCTTGATCGGTTTACACCAGTCTATACATCACGGTTTCGTTTTTTGGGCGCTACTTTTGCCGAAGATGATGGTGACAACACCGATGAAAAGGATGAAGAGGAGAGGGCGAAGGCTGTGCGTGCGATGACGGTCGCAATGATGACGACGACGTTGATGACCGCGATAGTAATGATGACCAACATGATGACGGTGATGATGATGATGATGAGGAGGAGGAGGAGGAGGAGGAGGGGATGGGGGGATGAAGACAATAATGACAAACAACAAAGTGTACGATCAATGACACACGAACACTTCAAAAACGTGACGTCTATTCCTGTCGCGCCAGGCGTTTCTGTCCATCCTGGGCTTCAACCTGGGGCTGGGCGGTCCTCCTCCGAGCCACCAGCACCTAGAGTTGGGCCGTCGCGCAGCGTTTCGCCAACGTGTGGATTACCATCCACCCCGCGTGCCCCCCATGTTCACCCGGGGAAAGAAAAGAAAAACGGCCTGAGGCCGTTGCTGTTCTTTTCTGTGGTTTGTTCTTAGCCCTGTGGATCCACCACGCTTGGGCCGTGGGTCATGTGTACACATCGACGTCTACCCGCGTCTTCGAGTCCCGTGCCGAAAGCGAAAAAGGTGGCGCTCAGTTTCCCCGGGAGATGCACAGGGTTGGTGCGATCAGTTTCCCGGGCCCGAGGCGGGCTCCATGCCCTAGGCGATATCATTGTGAAATCACTCGTGATATCAATCAACAGGTTTTTGGACATCATTGCTAGAGTTCCCTGTGGGTCGGTTGGATGTCATTCTTTTTTGGGGGCCATACCATGCCCGTGTGAAAACCATTTGGTCCCTTTTTCAGTTTCTCTCCTTGGAGCACCTTTGTCCAAGCATGTTCGTTCGCAACCTCTGAAGTTCCTCCGTTCCTTGCGTGAACCCAGAAGCTGCGCCTAGCAGCAAAATGCACCCAAATCTCAGAATCCTTGTGAATCCGATCCATCTGGCCTGGCCATTGCCTTTGTCCATGAGCGTCCCACGGATGAAAATACAAGCACACCAAAAGAGAGGTATTTGACGTACTTGAGGTGGTGCAGTGTCCCCATCAAAATCTGCAGTCGATCAAGAAATGGGTTTCGCAAGTTGTATGGACCCCCATTAAAACTTGTTTGGGCCCTACAACTGTCACAACTGTGCAATCAAAGAAGGTTTTGATACGTAAATCGATCCGAGGTATTATACTGGATCTCACGTCCCAAAAAAACAATCAATCTCCACACAGGGACCGCTGACTCCAACCCAGGAGCTTTGTGGATAGACTTCCTTTCCGGATCGAAGGAAGAAATGGGACAAACTCGCTGTTTGATTTGTTTGTCATGACCAGCCTACCCTCCCAAATCTGAAATTGGAAGTTGGCTCCACCCGGGACGGTGCTCCGCCAACCTTGAGCTTGGCCACCATCCGCCCAGCAGGCTGAGATCCTGGTGAGATGTACGACTGAAGGAGGTCCTAGAGTCATTGGTGCATCAAGTTGGAGGATGCATCTTCCCGCCCTCTCGGTTCGTCCTGGCACGAATTGTTTCGAAACACGTTCTGTGGTAGGCTTGTGGACACTCATGGTGCGCAATTGTTCAGCGCCTCGGAGCCCGCTCGACTGAAAAGAGCGGTGATCCATGTTCATGTCCATGGTGGATTGTACAAGAAGCAGTCGAACATCCAGGGTTTGGGGCTCGGCCCTGAATAGAGTCCTTTTGCTTCATCCAATGCTTAACCCTTTACCAATATAGATTTAGATTTGGATAGATTTGGTCCATTAAATGCTATAGAATTCCAGTTGCAGTTACACATGGTTTTTCTATTACAGGGTTGTCGCCATGCACCACGGCAGCTCGGACCTGGGCCACCGCTATAGTTGCGGCTCAAGTGTTTGCCAGGACCTCAGAGGTTGCAATTATTTTAGTCCTTACTATATAAGTCATTCAGCACGGATTCCTGCAGTCAACATCACTAAGTCACTAAGATTCCTGCAGTCGACCATCATTCTTTCCAGCGTCACGGAATCCGTTTCCTGTAATGGTGGAGCAGACATCCTGCGCTTCAAGGCCACTCAAGAGGCCAGGTGGAGCCATCTCGGGTCATCAGGATCACGTAAAGGTGACTCTTTGCCTCAGCAACCAGTGATTCAAACGATTCTTTTGTTCTCTTGGACCTGTAGCTTTGAGATTTTTGGGTTCAAATCCACTTGCTCCAATTCTAGCTCGCAGGGTAGCTTTGAACGTTAGAAGCCAAAAGGGCGACGCAGAGTGTGAGGCTGTCAAATGTGAATCTTGGATCTCATATCCGGATCTGATAAAAATAGAAATCGGAGACGACCATTTGGGACTGCAAAGCAGTCGGTATGCCAGTCTAGTGGAGCATCTTTGGAAAGTTCATTCTTCCCCACCCAGTCAAAGGATACCCTTAAACCTTTTTGGTGGTCAGTTTCCCCCTACACATGAAGAGGTGGACAGTTCGGTTAAACTAACTTTATGTTCCAGGGAAACTGAAGGAGTCAGTTTCAAGCTTGGAAAGATCCATTTTGGCGGTTGTCAAAATGAACACAATCCCAGCGGTCACAGTCAGGCTCGACCAGACTATTTGACAAGTCTCTATCATTAGTCGCTCCGCCATGTTTGGCCCCGAGCCGCAGGAGTTTGATGAACCATCAGCGAACATTTCACCAGAAGGAGTCAAACCCGGGGAGTGGAGGATTACCAAACACCGTGATCATGCACTGTCCGTGACTGATTTGAGGGCCGGGTTTCTCACGGCACGGCAGTCCCTGTTGCTTTTTACTCATGGTTTGGCTTCACTCGCTGGTAGTCTTATTGCCTTGCTTCGTTGCCCTGGGTAGTCTTCAAGCAACTTCTTGTTTGGTCTTGGATGCAGGTCCTGCTTCTCAGTTCAGAAACTGCCTTTGACTTGGCCTTAAGATTGCCAGTGCTAATGCCTGCAGGAAAAATATTCACTCGATAGCCTACATGCCAGAGCTTGCCGTTCGTTTTTCTTTTTTCAGAGGTGTTTGAAGTACCCGCCTCCGTCGCACGCCCTGCCCACCAAAGACGCCCTTGCGTTGGTTGCAGACTTTGCTCTTTGGGCATCAACATGAACTGGGACAACCCGTGATGTGTACTTCAAGCAAACTTTCTTTTTTCAAGGGCGGGGCAGGATGGGCGTCTGTGCTACCAATCGATTGTGTTTATTTCCAACATTTTTGTGACCGCAATGGTCTCAGAACCAGGAAGGACTGTGACCCCCTTCGGCCTGCGCCGTTCGCTTGCGTTGAGGAGCCCAAGACCGCGCTGTCGGAGCTGCCGGTGCCTGTCGGAACGGGCGGGGTGGAACGGTGGCGGGGTGGAACGGTGGAACCCACCGGTGTCATGAAGACAAGGGAAACGAAGCCAGGTCAACAAGAAGAAGAAGTGACAACCGGGAGCTGATTGGCCGCTGAAACACAGAGATGACATCACTTCCGACAATGATCACGGCTATAGACATGGTGACATAGTTGCTTCAAGCTCTGATCATGTTTGCTTTCCCATGTAGACCCATGTGGAAACAATTCCAGGGGAGCAGGGGATAACAGACGACCGTTTATTAGCCTGCGCGGATGGCGACTACTGAAATGCTCGGTGCGGATGTTGGGTCTTTGTGATCGGAATGATCGACTCTGGTGTCGTGAGGTGTGTCCTAAACGCTCCGTGTATGGAATAGTATGGAATAGATGCTCTGCATTTATTCCGTAGATGGAGTGTCTGGGAATGGAGAAGTGTGGCAGAAAATATAGACTGTGACACGTTTGTGAAAAACGCCGCATTAAAAAAAATACATATGTTTTTTAGGAAGACACATAGCAAAAAGAAAGAAGATGTGTGTATAGAAGCCTGCGTTTCAAGTTCTCCTTGGTGGTCTCACTCTCAAGTGCTTGCACACCGTCTGCGGAAATGACACCATCACTGTTCCGGTCAAACCGATCAAAGGCTGATGCCCAACACTCACGGGTAAAGCCAGCAACGGAAGCACACTTTTAAGCCGCACAGGCTTCCCAGTGCGCGTAGAGCTTTTGTCGACGCACAGGTACGTAGCACTGGGTACGTGCTCCGAAGCCACCACTGGTAAACGTAGCACCACCACAACCCATCCACTTCTCCTTTATTGATTTTGCCCTGGGACCGAACGTTGATCAATCCAGTGCACGCAGCTGCTGCGCTACTGTGAGTATCTTTAAAACATACTTGTGGATTTGTGAAAGTAGTCAATAAAGCAAGCACGACAATATTTTGAGCGCAAACATGGAACCTTCCAGTAAATGGGAATACGGGTCGATAGGAGACTGTGAACTACAGTTAAAGACATGCTTTGTCACGCAACGAGCAAGAAGTCTCCAGTTTTGGCGCCTTGGAGCAGCGACCCAGGTGCTATGGAGCAGTGTTCGGTAGAGGTTCCATTTGCTTTCCATGTGTTCCTCTCACAACACAACTATTTTTTGGTGGCTTTCCAGGTGCTTTCTCCGGATCCCACCGTTTGTTGAAAACTATCCTGGCAAGGTGGCACACATCCCTGGCAAGATTGCAGCCGGCGCCGCCAACAGTTCACCAACGAAGACAACGCATGAAGTTGCTTCTACCAGTTTGGTGGATCAAGCGCCTTGGAGATCAATCCGGGGAATCAGTGTGCAAATCGACGCAGCAAAGGCAACGTACATTTTGTAATTTTTGAACTGTTTGGGAACCTTGTGCGGCACTCCAGCCCCGACCTTCTGGGCGGTTGTTCGACATCCTTAAACAAATTCCCTTCACCAGGAGTCGAATTTCGATTTGAACTCCAAAGGCACGAGGCATCTCAGAATCGTTTGGCCCATGACTTGCCTTCGTGGCGGGCGTGATGTTGGTTGCTTTCTGAGTCAAAAAAGGCATTGGCGGCATTTCTAGCGGGATGCGCGTTCCTAGAAAAACATGAATAGTCCTTTAACATAGGAAACGGGGCGGCGCACCAAGCGGATCACCATGCCAACGAGAAACCAAACAGAGGAACACTGTGCCCGACCGCCAAATCCATGACCTTGATTTGGATGATTTCCCGGCCGAATTGAGATGAAGTCAGGGTGAAACACCGTGATCCTTCTTCGGTGTCCAGACCGAGGAAGTCAGCCCCACACGGCAGTTGGCCGTTGAGTGGTGCCAGGATGGCTTGAATTTGCTCACTGGTTCACAACCGCTGTGCCTTGGTGTCCACCTCTCATTGCTGACGGGGGGCGGCGTTGAAGCGAGTATGAAAAATGGTTTCGGCTAAGAGGAGACCTGGTAAAGTGAGAGTGCCGAAGAATGTGCTCAGATAGAGAAAAACATACAGCGCAAACCAGACAGCTCAAGCCAGCAGATGTCGGTTCCAAGCATCAGGAAGGTAACAGTATGTGTACGTCCCCTTAAATTTCACCAAGTGACACAGTCAGTCTGGGGTGGGGGGGGGGAAAAATACCTCCAGTATTAGGACCTATTTAGGACACTGCGCAGAAGGATCACACGCAAAGAAAGCTGTCGATGGAGGGCACTTATTTGGGACAAGAGAAACAATATATTGTCGTTTTTACTTCAATCGTGCCGTTGCACTGTTTTGACAATATTGCCAAATTATCGGGCGGCAAACGGTTCCGTTTCAAACCCTTGAATTGGCATTAAACACACGGTAAAAAGTGCTGGACATAAATACTTGGCCTGGCATTGATTGAACAGACCCCAAAACATAGCTTTAGGGGGGGATAATTAGGGTATACGATACACCAGGACTTTGGAAACAGGTCTTGAGTTGAGGGGGTTTGGCCCTAAGAAGTCTCAGAGTGACCGCTCCGTTGGCAGCGATGCCCCAGACGGTTGACCGACCTTGGGGGCGGAAATCGAAACCGGAGCGGGCTTCGAAACCGGGGGCTCTGGTGGCTTCAAAAGGGAGGGGGAGGACACCTTTTCGGTGCGATTTTCGCCGGTGAACTGGTGGCCTCCTGTCAGTTTGATGAGATTCACTTGGTCAGTGAGAGAGAGAAGTTTGTTCAAGCAGGCCACCAGGTCTGAAAACAACTCGCTGCCAGTCAGAGCAAAACATCAAGCACTCGTGGCAGGTGTTGCCTTGCCACGACTTTTCGGTGCGGTTTCCAGGTCCTTGCGGCCGCAGTCCGGGTCAAATTCCTTGACTCTCTAAGGATGGGTGGTCCTTGCTACTTCAAATTCCTTGTGCCGAACAGCTTGGCTGGTGCATTGATTGGCCGCCTGGTGAGAATCGAAACCACCATTGCGTGTTGCACATTTGGGCATCGGGAACATTTGGAAGACATTGAGGCACCTGGACTCTCCCAGTCTTCCCCTTGAACATTGAAAGAAAGATGAATAGCTGGCATAGTCATAGTCCAGTTTAAGACGAATAGCAATGGAACCTTAATAGGATGAAGGCCATTGCTATTAGGTTGGAGGCCATCGCTTCTAGGGTGGAGGCCATCGCTCTTAAGATGTGGTTGAACTCCTGGGAGCTCAGTATCACTTCACAGCACTTCGCATTGACACCAGTGCCTGCCTTCCTGCTTGCGGCGCATGTGGAAACGTGATCCGGACAATGCGGCGAAATGACTGACTCCGGTGGTCAGCCGCCTCAGGCAGAGATGGAAGTTCGATGGGGGAGATCGAAGTGGCATCGGACTGCAAGTTGCGGATCTCGGGCCCGAAGGTGGGTTGAAAGGATGCATAGGCTTATAAGAACCTGTGTGTCCAATTCAAACATGTTGCTGCCGAGTTGCCCGATGCAGCCTACAAATCTCCAAAGACTCATTTTATCCGGATAGGTTAAATTTTGCAGTTGCACTTGTGCAACTTCATGATCCCAAAAAAGGCGCCCAGAATCTGGCAGGGCGGTAGCTTTCGGGAGAAGTGACGGCCCCGCTTTGGTGGCCAGAAAATGGTCCCAGTTTTGGGGCCAAATGGCCGACTGAAGAACTCATTTTTCACCGAGCGCTGATAGAACTTTGCAACACCTGCTGGGACAAACAGAAGTTGCACATTACCAGCCCTGTCTCACCGCGCGCACTTGCGTGATACTTCGAGGGCCCTCCACACGGAAGCTTCTCTTCTCAAGGTTTTGGGGCGGGGCTTTTTGGCGCCGCAGAATCACTTACTTGGTATAGCATCAGCCCAGCAACCGCAATAGAGCAAGCCCACACCAAGACATTGCATAGAGCTGCTTCACGGGCACGGTTTGGAAGCAACACCTGATGCAACGCTAGAACAGTATAGAACAGTGCAGGTGCGAGGGTGAAGTCAACAATACCTCCGCCCTTCATCAAATACACGTTTTTTCCCTCATGCAATGGATTGCCACCAGTCAATAACTTTGTAAGTCCCAACCGGGGTCAGCAGGGCCACTCCTGTAATAGCGCGAGAAAGCTGGGCCACATAGTGCGCCACAAGGTGAGGTCATTATACGGTAAAGACCGCAACTGTCGGGGCCGCACGCGGGGCCAAGGCAAGTCAATTCAAGAATGGTACCAAAAAAAATGGAAAAGAGAATGGGGGAGCAGCAATACATGGAAACAATGCAAGTGGAGTGCCATGTTTCGCATCGAGCCCATTGCGCCCAAGCCAGGAACGGCTCAGGTCACAAATCACCATAGTATTGGGGCGCACTCCTGGTATCAGTTTCTCGGAGCTAGAATCGCTAGAGTAGTTATGTAGAAAGAACCAACACCAGGAACGCTGGTGCTGTGGTAAAACATCGTTTAGGGGAAAATGTTGCTGGGACCATGGAAGATGTGCGTACTAGTGGCCTCCAATCCGAATGCTTGAGCTTCCATCCTTCAGCCTTTCGCATCACCACCCTGACTTTAGGGGGCCATGGGCGGCGCCCCTTTTATAGATAACCAAGCTTTGGGGGTCACAGTGAATGCTATGACCTGATTGCCGTAAGTAAGCGGGGCCACTTTTGAATTTTTGCCAACGCATGCAAAGGCATGGCAATACGCGACGTACGCGGACCAGCCATCCATTGAAAGTTTGGTTTCGTCGCGGTGGGCCCTTAGATTTGTAAGGCGGCGCTTGAATTTTTGTTTGGAAGAGTGTTTGAAGGAGGGCGGGGGGTCAACTTTTGCTGGAGCAGTTTTCACTGAACAAATACATCAATGATTTGGAACATAAAGGTCGAGTTTCGTCACTTTAATCTAGGGAGCAACGGAATCACCCCGATAGACTTCCTCCACCCCCCCAACCTACTACAGATTGGAGATCGTAGATCTGGTTTCCATGCGTCACATATTTTGAACCCCTTGATCTGAGGTCAACCATTTCTTGGATATCACCCGCCCAGCCCAGTCATCCCCCACACCCCATTACGTGGTGGAAATATTGGACAGTCAACTCCTGTCCAGTGCAACTACCCATTGAGTTTTGTTGCGGGGTATCAGCATTTGCCTTGAGAATTTATTTCAATACTGGATGACGTTCATATTCTTTCCAGTATTTTATCTCCGCCCACAGATTAACTTTAAACATGTTCTGGGGGTTGAGTAGGGCATTTGACGCAACCCTATCGAAAAGACACATGATGATATAAAATGGTCAGTGACTAGATTGATTGAGACGTTTCATTCAACTGGTCCCCCAAGGAGAGGTGCTGCAGCTGGTCACAGCTTCGCACCGTTATTCTATTTCATTGTTTATAATTTTTTCGGAGCTGGTGCAGGCTGCAAACTACGAACTCGTCACTCCACACTCCAGGTCCTTTTTCCTGGGACTACGGACCGCATGTGCATCGCCCTTCGGCTGCGGCCATCGGGACAGGGGCGCACGTTTTCTCGACAGGAAACAAGAGGACATGGCAGACACTGAACGGCGAGTGGCGAGCCCTTTTGCCATTTGCTCATGTTCGGGAACCATTCAGCTTGGCAAGTCTTTGAGATTCGAGGTTGTTCGAGTGCGAGAGACAAATCAATCTCCTTGCAACACAGTTCTTTCAGGTTGTCAATGGTCATCCCCTCTTCCAATTCTAAATTGGCCGTGTGGGAGGAGAACTGTCGGGATGTTCTGTGGGACAATCTAAGGTTATTAGCCTTGTCATCCAAAATGTCTAATTTGAGTGCTCACTGCCCCTCAGTGGCGGACACACTTGCTACCGCGATGCCCGGTCACGATGCCAGAAGGGCCTGGCAGGGGTAGCAAGTGTAGTAGCAATCTGTTGGTTTTCATGTGTTGCAACATTTGTGAATCAGATTCATCAACTGGCGTCAGTTCAGGTCTCGAACTTGCGCAGGTACGAGACGGAGCCTGTATGGATCCTGTACGGAGCCTGTAGACTCTTCATATTTTGCATTTCAACACCCGGGGTTATTGACAACCAAGAATCTACATTAGTGTTGCTTCAGATACATCAGATGGATGTGGCTCGCCGACCTAGCGCCCGCAGGGCGCACCGATGTGTTCAACTCGCCATGGCCGGTGATTCGGTGACGCAGAGCTTTCCTGCAAAACAAGAGCTGATCCTAAAGCCTTCCAAGACCATTCCAAAAATGGTTGACCTGGTGTTGTAGTGTAAGACACTGGTAAATGGTGGTTGAAAGCCTAGCGGCTGATGGGCTTGTTGCTCCTTTTCCACTGCAGGTGGCTGGCAAAACTGGTGAGGCTCTCGAGATTGCAGCCATGAAGGTCATTGACCGGATGCATCGCGACGGGGAAAGTTCAGGAGGAGGGAGACGGACTTCAGATACTGTAGTCTTTCCACCAGCTTTTCGGGAAGACCATCGCTCAAGCTACTAGGTGGGGAAACCGGGTGATCTTCAAGCATGCTTGTGTGGGCTCGTGTGTCGCTGGTGCATGGGCAGGTGCATCCCCTTTTCAATTTGAAGCGCAACAGTCTAAGCAGTCATCCTGTTTCTTTCTGCAGTATGACTCCATCGCAGACACTCCATGGGATTGAGCTTTGGTCAACCACCCCAGCTCAATAGTGGCTGATTATGCCAGTCCCATTGGTCGTGCCTGGGCATGGTCAGTCCCATTGGTGGTCTGGATTTCTTGTGACAAGTCGTGAAGACTTGGGTGATCTTCGCCAGTCGGTCAGCCAGGCACATTGGGAAGAGCATTTTCAAGGGAAACGTGCAAAGCGGGTCAGACACGATCGTCGGAGTGAAGATGAATTCGGATTTGAGTGTTGTTTCACGCTCACACTCTTGTATTAAGATACTGCCTGACACTTTGGCTCAAGAACAAAACAGGTGCGCAAACGTGGTAGTTGTCGGTCACTCACCTGTTCTACAGGTTTTCGGCCGGATTGCCAATGCGCGGTACGTGCTTGTTCTAGCTTTCGCTCTACCCCACCATAGAGTACTAATGAGAGAGCGAGTTCAAGAGACGAACGCTCTCGCTCGGCCTGCCAACATATCCGGTCATGTTGACTCAGGAGATCGAAGATGATGTATCCTCGTTGCCTTTGGAACTAGCCCGTCCACCGGTTCCACCGATGCTCGCGCAGGGGAACCTGTTGCCTAGGACTAGTGTTTTTGTCTCTGATATTGTTGAAGAAGCGCAGTTTGTTTCGATTTACAACGTCCAACAGATTGATGCTCGAACGGTTCACCAGAATGCTGTGCTTGTTCAGCAAGACCGATCGGCCGAAGTAGTGGAGATTGCTGAGTTGAAGCGTCGTGCAATTCTAGCAAAGCAGAATCAACAATTTGTTGGGGAGGCCAAGCATTTTTAAGAATGTTGCGGCTAATGAAGCCAGAGCATTCGTTGAGGAGTCCTCTAAACACCAAGGAGCCTGCGCTCGACAGAACTCCAAGACATGAGCAACGCTCACCAAGCAAGGCAGTCCCAAGATCGCCACGACTATCTCAACGCTTTAGCGCTTGAGAGACATGCTGCTGTTGAGAATGAGGGAGCGCTTGCAAAGCTAAGAGAGGTTGCTCTCCGGTCAGAGCTCGCAGAGCAAAGTCGAATCATCAAGGAATTGGTTCGACGCCGCCTCGGCCGAGTGCCTGTGCTTTGAGTGCAGCCGCTACACGCCAACACCTCACCAGCGGCCCCACCTGCTCATGACTAGAATGGAGACCCTCCTCCCTCGAACCCGCTGATGAGCTGATGACCGTGATTGTGATGACCGAAAGTCTCGCAAAGACAAGGGGGAGAAGAAGGAGAAGGAACAGGAATGGATGGGCGACTCCTCCTTCTGACCGCTCCTTTTGAGGTGATGCCTCTCCAGGTGATGACTCTGATGATTCAAACTCGTCACCTGGCCGCCTGGCCTGCATCACCCGGAAGGAGCTGAAAAAGCAGAGAAAGAAAGAAAAATGGGAAACGACAAAGTTCTCATTTGACACTTGAGAAGTACAGGGGGTTGGAAAATCAGGGTCAGAGGGACAATATCTTTGCTGAATCAGAAAAGATAGCTGAGGCTGTTGGAAATGTCTATGTCGACGACCAGACGGTCGACGTGCTGCATCGTTCCGAGGGATTTGCCGCCCTCGATGCGAAGTTGTTGGGCAGTCCCGCCAACTGCGCTGAGGGGGACCTTGGTCGTCAAATCGCAACTTTCAAACACCCTTGGGCTTGCGAGAATAAACCCATGAAAGGTTGGTTTGGCTACCAGCATTGAGTCTGTCAAGATGGTCAATGAGGACCTCAAAGGCTTCACCCACAAGTGGGACTCAGTCCTGGCCGCATGAAGAAGGAGCCAGAGGACAACGTCCTGGAAGCCTACTTGCCAAAAGATTCAACCCTCTCATGAGACGCGATCTTGCCTTGTATGATTGTGCTGCCGAGGGCTCCTGAGACAGGTCGTATGAATTCCTCACCACTGCTGCTTGCGCCTAACAAAGCTTCTTGAGAAGACGCGCGATGCTACAAATCGCTTGTTAGGAGCAAAAGATCCGGCGTTCCCTGCAAGAAGCCTGAGAAGAAAGGTGTTTGCTATGGATTCTAGAAGACCGGAGAGTGCAAGCGCGGTGCCTCTTGTCCATGCAAGCAAGTAAAGGGAGAGGCAAAGAAAAGGACCGAAAGAGGTCGCAATCCAGATCGCTGACCCCGGGATCGAGGTCCCGACAAAGCAGTTCCGGCCAAGAAGGAAGAAAAGAAAAAGAAGAAAAAGAAGAATAAGAAAGAAGTTGAAGAAGAAGAAGAAGAAAAAGAAGAAGAAGAAGAA